TTTTTAAAAATTTGATCCCATATGGACAGTTCCTAAAAGAGTGCGATATGTACCAGGGACAAAGCTATGAAATTTTCCTAGACATAACTATACACCTTGAGGGAATGAGTCAGTCGCTGGGCCTGGGGGCTCAGGACCATGGACCCAGGAACATCAAGGTCAAGTGGAATAACAGTCTACAAAGACAGTGTTCTATATCCGGTTGTGCTAAGCAGCCACTGGTGTCTTAAAAGCTTGTATGCTACCATCTAAGATGCAGCTACTAGTCTCTCTCCATTTGAACAAAGCAAGTGAAGAAAACTGAAGCTATATGGGAATAATTAATCCAACGGACCATGTGAATTATCAGCCTTCTCAACTATGAGGCCAAAAGAACTAGCTACTACTATCGCCAACCAGTCTGAAAGGGATCACATTAGAAGGTTCCCCGGAGGAGTGGGAGAAAATATAGGACAAAACTCAGTATCATTAAAAACAACAACAACTATGTTTACTGGTCAGAGAGAGGCTGATAGAATCCCCAAGACTATGGTCCATACTAGCCTTTACACCTGGAACGGAATTCACCCCTTTGGCTCAATTTTCATCCATACAATAACAGACAAAAATCTATAAGAGGAATAAGGACATTACCCTCATTCAAATAACCAACCATGGGAGATCAAAAGCACAGTGTTTATCCAAGGACAAAGTTTAGAAACTTGGGAAGGAGGAGGAACGGAAACAGGGAGCACAGAGAGGAAGTGGGATAAGTAATGCACATTTGAGGCTTGTCATCAATAACGTGAAGCAAAGCATGCATGAATGCAACTGAAATTTATTGAATACAAAAATAGACTGAATGTAATGGAAAACTGAAGATCTGCTCTGTAAACCAATTCACAGAAAGCTAAAAATAAAAAGGGCATAATGCTCCAGGTAAACTTTTATTTACTAGTTAGGCTAAACTGCTGTTCCGTTTATGACGATTTAACAGAACATTTCTGGTTTAAGGGCTAAATATTACCTCAGGGCACTATTTTCAGGGATTCATCAACCCTCTCATGACTACAGATATCTAGAACCTATGAGAAATTTAAATTCTGTTCTGCATTTCCTCTCTTCTGACAGTGATCCTTCTACTGAATCTTCGATCAAAATGTTCAGTAGTAGTAGCCAGGACCCCTCACCCCCACCCCCACCCCCTGCGTTCAGGTTTCCTGGCAGGGGAGGCAGTGGTCCACAGAGGCCATCACACATTCCAGATCCTCTAAGGAGTCCTGTTGGCTCTGTGGCTTAAGCATTTGGGTTGTTAGTTCCAAGAAGTCAGCAGTTCAAACCCATCAATCACTCTGTGGAAGAAAGATGAGGTTCTCTGCTCCAGTAAAAATCTATTAATCTTGGAAATCCTACTTGGGATCATTATGAGTAGGAATCCACCTGATAGCAATGGTTTTCTGTTTTCCCATATTCTCCTGTTTCGGAATGTCCTCCCTCTATTGCTCCAGAGCAGTGGCCAATGGTAGTGCCTTGATGGCCCCTTGTAAGCTTTTAAGATCTCAATTTGAGGAAACTGCGTGGAGGCTATATCTGATCTCTTCTGGCTACATAAAGGAGGAGACTCCGATTCTATATCAGCCCCAAGTCTACTGCCACAAGAGAGAGGTCAGGCATCCCTCTACCCTTTATCCCCCTGTACCCTATTCTAACACCATCTGATCCTTCCATAACACTCTACTTTTCTACTGGGTTCTAGAATTCATTGCAATGGCCACACAGAACTCACAGACAACACTCGATACTATAGAGGTTTTTAGGGAAGTTACCACAAGCCAGGATCAGAAAACATTTAGGATACAGTCATTAGTTCACAGCAAAGCCTCTCTTCAACCAGCAGTCAAATCTTTCACTCTGGTCCTCAACTATGTGGTCCCAGGAAGCCTACTTCTCACTGTGCCTCACACTCTCATAGTCTTGGCACTGCTCCTGTTCTGTCTCATGGTCTCCTTGCCTTGGCCTCCAGTTGAAGCATGGCATGGCCTCTGCTGTCACCAACACCAGACAGAGGTTTCAAATGTGTTCCATTGGTGACTCTTCTTCCGTGTTGGTCCCAGGAATAATTTCCTTCTGCTTCTGAGATGTCCCACCCCATCAAGGAGACAGACTGACACAGTAGCTGCAACTATGGGTTCAAATATAACAACTGTGAGGATAACAAAGAACCCAGTAGTGTTTTGTTCCAAGTACGCAGGGTCCAGCTGAGTCATAACAGACTCAAAGACAGGGAGTAGCAGTGCCCTCCAATCATGTGGTGAAAGTTACAAAAACATGGACAGAATAGCCACAGTAAGAAACTTCACTTCGCCACACAAGCATTATGCCATAAACAATAGAGGGCAGAACAGAAGCACTAAACACATGCATGGGATGTCCCAAGAAATCATACACCAGCTCTGCAAAGCAAGAAACCAAGTCCCATGAGGGGTTTGGTTGGACAAAAGCAGCCTTTTAATTTTGCTGCCATTCTAAATATGTCTAGGATACTTTAGCCAATTCAACTTCTTACAGCAATTACAATAATCAGTTGTGCAACCCTACCCTTTATCAATGCAATTTTTCCATCATCATTAATCAACTCCCCTTTGCCGTCTTGCCCCTGGTAACCACCAAAAACATTTGGTCTCTCTATATTTATTTTCTCTTGTCTTTATATGAATTAGGTCATACAGTATTTCTCCTTGTGTGATTGGCTTATTTCACTTAGCAAGTTCCACCCAAGCTACATGAATCAATCAGGACTTCAGACTGGTTCTGGTTCAACCCCTTGAGAAGCAAATTATCATCAGGGGATCTAGCCAGAATGAACTGGCTCAAACTGGGTATTGAGAGTTCACTTCGCCCACTGGCTGAGCAGTGGGTTCTACTGTAGGTGGGTACCACACTGTTGACTCAGTCATCTCCTGGTGGGCATTTGGGTTGTTTCTGTCTTTTAGCTATTGTGAATCATTTTAGTTTTAGTGATTTTGAGGTACCATCATACTAGTTTCCCCAGTGACTGTACCATTTGAAGGTCCCACCAGCAATGGGTAGTGTTACTGTAGTTCCCACATCTTTCTCAACTTTCGTTACTTTGTTTGTTTATGTGGAGTGAAATACTCCCTCCTTGTGGTTTTGACTGCCTATCTCTGAGGACACTGAGCATGGTCTTCTTTGGTGGCTTGTCTATTTAAGTCCTTTGCTCTTTTTATGATTGGGTTATTTGTCTTTTTGATATTAAGCTAGGTTTTATACATATTTTGGTTATTAGATTCTTTCCTGATATACAAGGGACTTTGAAAAGTTCATGGAGTCTACGGCCATACCACCCTGAACACGCCCGATCTAGTGTTTCATGGAAAAACAGAATTAAGAGATAATGGAAAGATATTTTCTGTGTAACTTATATTTTCACTTTTTCTGGTAAAGTCTTTTGATGAACAAACTTTTTTTATTTTTGAGGTCCCATTTATTTGTCTTTTGCCACTTCTGCTTTTATTATTATAATTTTATTATATATCCATTGTTGAAAGTTAGGCCTGACAGCATTGTCTCTGCTTTTTCTTTTTGTTTGCCTCTGCTTTCTTCTAAGAATTTATGGTTTTAATATGCAAATTTAGTTCCTTGGTTGATTTTTAATTTGTTTTTGTGTATTATATGAGACATGATGAAACTCTTCTTTCCTCATCAAATGGGCTTAAAACCCACATCGGACAGTGTAAGACATGACAAAATAATAATACTTTATAAATTATCAAGGGCTCGTGATGGAGGGAGGGAGGGGAAAAAATGAGGAGCTGATACCAAGGACTCAAGTAGAAAGAAAATGTTTAAAAAAATGAAATAAAAAAAAAAAGAAAATGTTTTGAAAATAATGATGGCAACAAATATACAAATGTGCTTGACACAATGT